GCACTTTGGGAGGCCGAGGCGGGTGGATCACAAGGTCAAGAGATCGAGACCATCCTGGTCAACACGCGCCATTGCACTCCAGCCTGGGTAACAAGAGCAAAACTCCGTCTCAAAAAATAAAAAATAATTAATAAATAATAAATAAATAAAATAAAAATAAATTTAAAAATTTGCCGGGCGCAGTGGCTCACGCCTGTAATCCCAGCACCTTGGGAGGCCGAGGCGGGTGGATCACGAGGTCAAGAGATCGGGACCATCCTGGTCAACACGGTGAAACCCCGTCTCTACTAAAAATACAAAAATTAGCTGGGCACGGTGGCGCGTGCCTGTAATCCCAGCTACTCAGGAGGCTGAGGCAGGAGAATTGCCTGAACCCAGGAGGCGGAGGTTGCGGTGAGCCGAGATCACGCCATTGCACTCCAGCCTGGGTAAGAAGAGCGAAACTCCGTCTCAAAAAAAAAAAAAAAAAAAAAAAAAAAATTTAAAAATGCCCAAATGGTGACTTTTTAGGCTAACCTCCTCCTCCCAGTTTGAGCATTGGAAGTTCTGCGTCCTGTGAAACTCCCTGGTCCTCAGACTGAACATTTCCATCCTGTAAAGCTCCAGCTGCCACTCCAATCTCAGGCAAACCAGGCTGCTGGCTGCCCAGCTGCCATGGAGTCCCCAGTGAGCTTTAACAAATGCTGACCCCTGCAGCAGATGACCATGAGCAGCCCTGCCTCTAGATCCCACAGCACACATGGGTGGGAGAAGGTGCATTCCCATTCCCAAGGGAGCCGAGGCAGCAGTGAACTGAGAACACAGCTCTCGGTTAGATTAGGAAGTGAAGATTCTGGGGGAGGAGTCTGGTTGATGATCCCAGGATTAGACCAGGAGGTGAAGATACTCAGGTAGGAGGAGGCTGGTTGATGATCCCTGGGTTAGACAAGGAGGTGAAGATATTCAGGTAGGAGGAGGCTGGCTGATCCCTGGGTTAGACCAGGAGGTGAAGATACTCAGGTAGGAGGAGGCTGGCTGATCTCAGGGTTACACCAGGAGGTGAAGATACTCGGGTAGGAGGAGGCTGGCTGACCTCAGGATTACACCAGGAGGTGAAGATACTCGGGTAGGAGGAGGCTGGCTGATCTCAGGATTACACCAGGAGGTGAAGATACTCGGGTAGGAGGAGGCTGGCTGACCTCAGGATTACACCAGGAGGTGAAGATACTCGGGTAGGAGGAGGCTGGCTGATCTCAGGATTACACCAGGTGAAGATACTCGGGTAGGAGGAGGCTGGCTGATCTCAGAGTCAGACCAGGAGGTGAAGATACTCGGGTAGGAGGAGGCTGGCTGATCTCAGAGTTAGACCAGGAGGTGAAGATACTCAGGTAGGAGGAGGCTGGTTGATGATCCCTGGGTTAGACCAGGAGGTGAAGATACTCAGGTAGGAGGAGGCTGGCTGATCTCAGGATTACACCAGGAGGTGAAGATACTCGGGTAGGAGGAGGCTGGCTGATCTCAGGATTACACCAGGAGGTGAAGATACTCGGGTAGGAGGAGGCTGGCTGATCTCAGAGTTAGACCAGGAGGTGAAGATACTCGGGTAGGAGGAGGCTGGCTGATCTCAGAGTTAGACCAGGAGGTGAAGATACTCAGGTAGAAGGAGGCTGGCTGATCTCAGAGTTAGACCAGGAGGTGAAGATACTCGGGTAGAAGGAGGCTGGCTGATCTCAGGATTACACCAGGAAGTGAAGATACTCGGGTAGGAGGAGGCTGGCTGATCTCAGAGTTAGACCAGGAGGTGAAGATACTCGAGTAGGAGGAGGCTGGCTGATCCCAGGGTTAGACCAGGAGGTGAAGATACTCAGGTAGGAGGAGGCTGGCTGATCCCTGGGTTAGACAGGAGGTGAAGATACAGGGGAAGGAGGTGGCATGAGAGCTGGCTGATCCCAAGGCAGGAGCACAGCACCTGGTGGAAGAGGCTGGAAGGGAAGGGAGTGGGGATGGAGGCGAAGGGGGAGGCACAGAGCAGTCCCAGGACCCTGGAAGGAACCGGAGGAACAGAGCATGGGGGTGGGAGCTACACCCCATGTGATTTGTAGGACCCTAAATCCCACAGTCGTCAGCGACATAATAAACAGCAACTCCAGGAGAGCTGGAGTCTACCAATGCCTGTGGGACACAGTGCAAAGGTAGATTTTAACACACTGAGATTGCTATTTGGTATAATGACATGTTTAGCCTAAAGAAATGAAGTTAGGGATTTTCCGAGCTACAGAATGAATTCCTTTTGGTCCTGATTGGAAAGTCCTTTGCTCTTGGAACTCAATTCTCAGATGTCTGTTTCACAAATCATCATCCTCGTTCTGATACTTACTCAAACCTTTGCCCACCCTCGAGTCTCTTTATTTTTCATATTCCACAAATGATGTGTGTTTGTTATCTGAATCCAGAAAACCCTCATGGGTTTCCAGCTACAACTGCCAATAACTGATACAGAACTAGAGAGTGTAGAAAATATTTCTTGACAATAAAAGCCAGAAGGAAGATTCCAGTTCTCCCATCCCCATGAAAGGAAGGGGCGGGGGTGGGGGTAATGCTGTGTTGTGGTGAGCTGCAGTTTGCACTGTACACGTGTGTGTGCATGCATGCACACATGTGTTATGTTAAGATCATAACATCTGGTGACTTAAGTCCTTGGGAAGCTAGACAGACTCAACATATTATTCCAGCAAAAACTTCAGCATCATTTAGAAGAAAATATAGCAGAGAAAAAAATCCCTCAAGTAAGAACAATGCAGGTACTTCTATTCAGTGTAACTAACCTTCCTCTAAAGTCGGGAAGAGGGAAGTAAGCCAGAACTGGAGGGTGTGGAGCTCTAACACAGTCAGCTCACAGGTCAGCAGAAGAGACAGGTACTCCAGACTTCAGACCTTGGGGCAAACCGAGGTTCCTCGGTCCCTTCTCTGACATAACTGACTTCTTTCTTTCCTTCTCCCTCCTCAATGCAAGGCCGAGCTTCCCTAAACAAGAACTGGGACTTTCATGCCTACTGAGACAGGCAGAGAGTCTCACAGGTGTCAACAGTTTCAAGAACCTTGCCCAGCCTCAGCCACCAACCAACCAGGCAGGCTGGGCAAGCCCAGAGGCTCCTGGAAACCAGAAACTAGGGCAGAAACACCCAGCAACTCAGTCCCTTTTCTAAAACACAGCTACCAATAAATACATATTCATAAATCACTGTCATGAGCCATAGAAAGGGAATGCTTTTATAAATTAAAGCACCCAAACGTTAAACCAACATTACTTAGGACAGCATTTGTCATTGCTACAGAAAAACATTTTATGTAAATATGAATGCACACAAGGTAAGTAAGTGTCTTCTATTCATAGAAGAGTAGCCTGTATTTTTTTCTGACATGAAAAGACACTGAAAACACACCTACCAAAAAAACGTGGGGGGGGGGGGTGTGTATGTGTGTGTGTGTGTGTGTGTGTAATCTGTTTGTCTAGGTCGACATTAGAATTTCACCCAATACCTGTGTACACCAAGGCCCAGCAGGGCAGTGTGGTTAATCAGTGTATGTAGCAAGACAAGCCAGAGCCGCTCTGAGACGATTGCACAGGAAGAAGGAGACTGTTTAAATCTCCTTCGATAGGTACTGATAGGGACTGGAAACGATATTTTCACAGTGGACACCCAAGACACTCTCTTCCTAATCCTAACCAAGGAATAAGAAGCAAACTAAAGGCCAGGAGTGGTGCCTGACGCCTATAATCCCAGCCCTTTGGGAGGCCAAGGTGGACACATTGCTTGAGGTCAGGAGTTAGAGATCAGCCTGGCCAACATGGTGAAACTTCATCTCTACTAAAAATATAAAAATTGGCCAGGCGTGGTGGCAGGTTCCTGTAATCCCAGCTACTCAGAAGGCTGAGGCAGAAGAACAGCTTGAACCTGAGAGGCAGAGGTGGCAGTGAGCTCAGATCACACCACCAGACTTCAGCCTGGGCGACAGAGTGCGACTTCATCTCAAAAAACAAAAAAGCAAATTAAACTCGGCACATATCAGTGTTTCGTTGTGGTCAGGTGTTTGGTCTTTTTTTTTATATCCATACCTACGAGGGAGGAAGTGAAGGCAATGAGCGAATGCCTTCAAATCAAGTGCTATTTTACTAAAATCAAGTATGTCTTAGTCAGCTCAGGCTGCTCTAACAAGCTGCCATAGGCTGGGGGCCTTAAACAATACTCGTCAATTTCTCACACTTCTAGAGGCTGGGAGATCCAAGATCGAGGTGCCAGTAGGTCGGATGTCTGGTGACGGCTCTGTTCCTGAATGGTACATGTCCACCATCTGGGTGTGTCCTCACAAGGTGGACAGAAGAGAGAGAGAGAAAAAAAAGCTCTCCTGTCTCTTCTCGTGGAAGCACCAATCCCATTCTCAGGGACTCTGCCCTCATGACCTAATCACCTCCCAAAGGCCCCTCCTCCTAAAACCGTAACCTAAGGGGTTGAGATTTCAACATACGCATTTTGGGGCTGACTCAGACCGTAACAAATACTTCAAAATACATTTATCAGGACTACAATCCTCACTGCATAGTCACATTTTACCAGAAATAGTTATCTTCAGAGAAAATGCATAATTTAATTATCAAGATCCTAGACACTTAATACAGCATGGATAAAATAATGCAGATAAAAGTTAGTGAATCCAAAAAGATTTCTTAAAAGGCTAAGTAAAGGGTGACTCATCCAGAGTTTGACAGACATGGTTGGCATCTGAAAAAACTTTAGGAAAGAAAAAAAATAGTTCACAACTGCACAAGACACAGGCTATTACAAAACTATCTTTCTGGCAAAGACACCCTATTCAATACCACTCACTAGAACAACACGTAATTTTTATTTAATCTCACATAGGTATGCTATTCTGTTAACAAGTCTAAATTCACATAACATCTTCTAGAGAAGGACTACATTATTCAACAGCCACAGAAAGATCCCAGTGTTTATTCTTACCTCAGATATCTATTTTCCTGTTAATGTTTTAATCATGAGCATTCAAGGTGGTGAAAAATCATCTTTCAGCAAGGGAAGAGTTAGCCCAGGAAGTCATCCCCATCCCTGTCACCCATCAAGGCCTAAGTGACAAAAGTTACAGAGACTGACCTCACCTCAGTAGCTATCGGCAGGCTTTTCACATCCAAGGTGGCAAATAAAAAGACTTTAGTAGGAATGCACCTTCTGACTCTGGTGGTTTCTTACAGCGGTGAAGAAGAGCGCCCAAAGCAAGAATTAACCATCCCCCCCAAAGAGCTCTTTCTGGAAATCAAAAAAGCCACAGTTCAAGTTCAAAGAGAAAGCCTTTAGCAACTTCTGAAAGCAGGAACTATGTACAAGTGAATGACCTCATCCAGCACAGAAGCCAGAGCAAACAATGAAAAACAACCCGTACCAACTCTGGTACCAGTCACTGACCTTCCAGACCCATGGAACGTGCTCGCAGCCCTGATAAATGTGCTTGTACGTAAAAAATCAGTTCCTCTACGTGGAAGCAAACATGCAAGCAGACCTCTCCAGCCCTGGATGGGCACCATTCCCATTCCGACACTCATACAATCTGACTGCAGGAAGCGCGAGTGAGTTAATCTCCAATTGGAGGAGGCAGAGTTCTCGTACTTGTGAGGGCATCACCACAACCCCCACAGCATGAAGGCCGGACAGCAACGAGAACGGCCCTCCTGAGGCTGGGATTCAACGCCTCAAAGCCCGCTTTATAAAATGTGCTGAGACTTTTCAATGGGGAAGGGCTGTGTTTAATACAGCAGAAGCCAGGTGCGGCAGTGCGCACCTGTGGTCCTAGCTACCCCAGAGGACCACTTGAGCCCAGGAGTCTGAGACTGCAGTGCACTACGATCACACACGTAAACAGCCACTGCATTCCAACCTGGGCGACAGAAAGAGCCCACCTCTAAAAAAAAAAAAAAAGGGGGGGGGGGAATACATATTAGAGAGAGAGAGACAGAGAGAAAAAATGAGTGTGTGTGTGTGTGTGTGTGTGTGTGTGTTTGTGTGTGTGTGTGTGTATTAGGGTAGAAACAAATTACAAGCAGAAGGGTCTTGAGTTCCAATCCTAATTCTGTCCAACTATACCTGTATGACCTCTGGGCTGAAGGTTCAAATCCCCTCTAAAGCAAGGAGGTTCCTTCCAGTTCCAGATTGTTATTACTAAATTATTAGGAAATAGTAAATATACATCAAAGCGAAAGTGTGAAATTACCATTGCAGAGGCACATACAGATGCCCATTTGGTGACATCTGGCCCATAAGTACGTTTCAACCCCTGCACCAAGCCCAATGCACAGCAGACACCAGCCACGTTCCAGAGCCACGGCCCTGCTCAGTCAGTGCACTACGGAGAGACACAGGCTCGGTGGAAAGCTCTGAAAACTGTCTGCTGTGGTTTGACTATGTCCCCTAAAGTTCGTATGTTCAAACTGAATCCTCCTTGCAACAGTGATGAGGTCACGCAGGCTCCACCTCATGAATGGATTAATGCCATTATCATGGAAGTGGGTTATAAAAGGGAAGAGTTCAGCCCCCTTTCCTCTCTTGCCCTTCCACCTTCCACCATGGGATGAGGCAGCAGGAAGGCCCTTGCCAGATGCAAGCCCTCGACCTTGGACTTCCCAGTCTCCAGAAACTGTAAGACATATATTGTTGGCTGGGGGCAGTGGTTCCCACCTGTAATCCCAGCACTTTGGGAGACCAAGGCTGGAGGATCACTTGAGGTCAGGAGCCCAAGACCAGCCTAGACAACCGACATGGTGAAACCCTGTCTCTACTAAAAATACAACAACAAAAATTAGCAGGGCGTGGTGGAGCACACCTATAGTCCTGGCTACTCGGGAGGCAGAGGCAGGAAAATCACTTGGACCCCAGAGGCAAAGGTTGAAGTAAGTCTAGATCACACCACTGCACTCCAGCCTGGGCAACTCCATCTCAAAATAAATTAATAAGTAAGTTTCTTTTCTTTGTAAGTTACCCAGTCTACGGTATTCTGTTACAGCAGCACAGAACAGACTACAGCAGTGTCTACTAACAATGCTTGGTTCACTTGGATTCTTTCCAAATGATCATCATTGTGAATATGTGATATTAAAATAAATAAATAAAAATAAACTAGGGCCCAGGAGTTTATCTGCTCTTTCTGCTCCTTCTCTCATCCCATGACACAGGAAATATTTTGGCATTCTCAACATGAAATGCCACAAGACCAGGGTAGATATTTAAAGGTTCAGCTCCTCTCTGCTTAGAAAAAGTGTAAAATATCAGTTCAGTAAGAACAGAGTTTAGTACAATACACAAACAATACTGAATGCGCACTCCACCCTGAGAAAAAATCTTGAATTAGTGTTTAATAAACAGATAAGAAGGTGACAGTTCCCCAGGCATCCTAACACAGTTATTCCCAACTGAATCTGTAAGAGTGAACTATCTCTCTTTAAATTCTGTGCCGAGACATTACACTATGCATGCATGGTGGATATAATCTATGCAATATCTCAAAACTAAACCACGGTTTTGTTGTTGTTTTAATCTATACATTGTTAAGAAGGATCTTCAGTAGGACATTTTGCAGATGGGTACAAATGCTGGTCGAGGACCTGCATCCAGTGAGGGCCTTCTTGCTGCATCATCCCATGGTAGAATCCCTAGGCCAACAGCATTTGGGAAACACTGCTCCCACCTACGCTTGCAGAGTTCCTGCCAATCAGGAGTTTCCACTGCCACCCAAGTCTCAGAACAAAGCTATGGTGGAGGATCACAGCCATCCACCTCTCGGCAGCCAATCAGACTAGCAGGCCAGACATACAGTTTTTATCCATGGACCACAATCGGCCAAGAGAGAAGACTGAGAAAAAACTTAGCACAGACCTCTCACAGATTATTAGGACATTTTAGTCAACTCCTAGAAAAATAATTAGGAAATCATATTGTTAGTGTGAAGTGTAGGAAATAAAATTGCACGATTTTAATAACACGACATCACACTTTTCCCCAATGCCTCTCCACCCACAACACAAGTCACACATGCCCCTATAAATTCTGTATGAAGATGGTGAAATCTCTTCATAATTTGTGTCTAATTGGCCACAGCTAGCAAGTAACAGGATGCTTGAATCCAGGGCTGTTTTATTCCAAAAATCATATTACCCTAGGCTATAATGCACCCATCAGATGACACACCAGGAAAAGAAATATGACCTCCTTTTATTAAGTCTTTCATACTGACCTTTAATAAAAACACTGACTTTGCTGACCTTTGGGAAAGTAGCTCATAAACTACATTATCTGTATGAATCAATAATAAGCACTAAAGGGGATGAGCTGCTTGCATTGAAGAAAGCAGGTGGCATATTTTCTTGAATTTCTAGTTTAAGTAGCTTGTAATTCCCTGTACTAGGGAAGAAGCTTTTCTTTTCTTTTTCTTTTTTTTTTTTTGAGATGGAGTCTCACTCTGTCTCTCAGGCTGGAGCGCAGTGGTGCGATCTTGACTTAACTGCAGCCTCCACCTACTGGGTTTAAGCAATTTTCCTGCAGGAGCCTCCTGAATAACTGGGATTACAAGCACATGCCACCACACCTGCTAATTTTTGTATTTTTAGTAGAGATGGGATTTCATCATGTTGGCCAGGCTGGTCTCGAACTCCTGACCTCAAGTGATCTGCCCGCCTCAACCTCCCCAAGTACTGGGATTACAGGTGTGAGCCACTGCGCCTGGCCAAGAAGCTTTTCAATGGAGAACAATACAAACGCAGCAAAGAAAAAGCACTGTGTGATGGCCTGGACACCAAGGGAACACCACATGTCACAAAGGAGCTCACAGCCACAGGGGCCTGGGGAAACCCCAACATCTAAAGAATCTTTAGGGCATGGCTTCCAAACTTTTCTGACAGCCACTGACAATCAGAAAAACATTTAACATCACTATGTAGACAGACATATGTGTGTACGGGCTTCACAAAACAATATGAACGCCTCATGTGGGCACGTATTTCCTATTCTACTTCACATTTCGAAACGCAGGCTGTGACCCTTGGTGTAAAACCGGTGAGTTAGATCCAGCAAGGGATGAATGGATAAGCAATGTGGTCTATCTACACAATTTAGGTATTTTTCAGCCTTAAAAAGGAAGGAAATTGTCACTTATGCTACCACACAGACGAACCTTGAAGACGTCACACTAAGTGAAATCAATCAGTCATAAAAAGACAAGTACTATGTGGTTCATTTATATGAGGTCCCTAGATTAGTCAAACTCATAGAAAGTAGAATGTTGGTTCCCAGAAGCTGGGGGGAGAAGGAAATGGGGAGGAATTGTATTATGGGTACGGAGTTTTGGTTTGGGAGGATGAAAAAGTTCTAAAGATGAACGGCAGAGATGGCTCCACAGCAATGTGGTTAAAATCATCTACTTTGTTACGTACCTTTCACAATTGTTTTAAAAGCCACTAAGTTGTCTGGGCGCAGTGGCTCACACCTGTAATCTCAGCAGTTCAGAAGGCCAAGGCGGGCAGATCACGAGGTCAGGAGTTCGAGACCAGCATGGCCAATATGGTGAAACTCCGTCTCTACTAAAAATACAAAAATTAGCTGGGTGTGGTGGCGCACACCTATAATCCCAGCTACTCAGGAGGCTCAGGCAGGAGAACTGTTTGAACCAGGAGGTGGGTTGCAGTGAGCCAAGATCGTGCCACCGCACTCTAGCCTGGGCTACAGTATAAGACTACATCTCAAAAAAAAAAAAAAAAAAAAAGCCACTGAGTTATAAAGCAGTGAACAGTGGGAAAACTCTCCCAAATTTATGGCTTTCTGTACTACATGATATTAGTAAAACTGGCACAACTGGAAAGAAACAGTTACAGTCGTATTCTGTGCTATTAGAATCCTAACAATGCAAACACATCTTTGTTCTTTACTTTTTTCTATCTATAAAACAAGAATAAGGATATTTACTATAAAATTAAAGAATATCGCAATGCCAAAAAGTATTTTGTTAGGAAGGTAGAGAATACCATGAAAACCTAGTTAAGAACAGAAATGATCAGATCCCTAAATAGAAAAGGGATATTTTATTAGATTAAATCTTCCCAGAATATTTGCAATTAGTAATGTGTTGCCTCTACTAAACACGATGAAAAAAACAGAAACATTGATTTCAAGCAGATCTGAAAAAATATATAATCATGCATTGCTTTTTTGGATCAATGGTTGTTTCTTCATATTGTCAAAGTATGCTTACAAGAAGCTTCTCTATCAAATGCTTCCATTCACTCACAGAGCACTGCTTATGATGAAATCTTACAGAAACATGAAAAATGCCTTTCATGGTTAGATATGGCTCCTTCCTTTCTAGGGTCCAATTGAGAAAATAT